ACCTGGCCTGTGACTTGATTTATGATTTGTGACCTGACCTGTGACTTGATTTGTGACTTGTGACCTGGGCTGTGATTCTTGACTTATGACTTGTGACTTGAGCTATGACTTGTGATATGAGCTGTGACTCTTGACATGTGACTTGTGACCTGAGCTGTGACTTGTGACATGAGCCGTGACTTGTGATCTGGATTGTGACCGTAAAAAAAAATGTTAACCGTACAAAAAATATAGCGGAGCAATCGTCGGAATGGGAGTAACGATCGTCGGAAAGTTCGCCGGAGTAGGGCGGTGATCGGAATGGTCGCCGGAGCGACAGGGGTGGTGAAGGTGGGATGGGTTAATTATATTAATTAAATATTTAATAATAAATTAATTTAATAATGTATTATTTCATAAATAAAAATTTAAAAAAATCTGATTTTGATAACTTTAAACTTGTGTTCTTATTTTTAAAATAGACGAAACTTATACTCTTATACTCTTGAATATGTAATTTTCTCTTATTTAATTCCTTTGAATTTATAAAAATGAACGGACCAACGGTCGACGTGGGGTCCAATAAGTCCATGGCCCACTATACGTCCCTTCAATAACGTGAAAAGTCAAAAGTCAATAAAGAATCCTCCTCGTTGACTAATACCAAACGACGACGTATAACTACAAGCACAAGCACAATTACGTATCATTCCAAGCACACGCACTGAGTGTGAGATCTCATTATCTCAATGGCTTGGTTGTTGAACAATCCGGTTACTTTTCTGTACAATTCCGACGTCCGGTCGCCGGAATACTTCTTTCCTAAACGGTTGCGTTCCAAAGCCAATTATCGGGGATATAACAATAAGTCTTTTAATAGTATTATCAATATCGGAAATTGTAGTAGTATCAATGGCAGTAAGAGTAAAATTTTGTGTGAAGCAGTATCTGTGCAGCCACAAACTGATATTGAAGGCCTTAACATTGCCGAAGATGTAACCCAGGTGGGGTTTTCCGGGTTTCATTCCATTTTTCATACTTGAACTGTCATTCTGTATTTTATTTTTATTTTTTTTGTGCAGCGTGTTTTCTTTACATTTGTTGTTGATATTACGAAAATATTGGTTATCTTTTCGTTTTAGCTTTGCTTTTTTCCTTTAGTTTGAATTTAAGTAATACTTAATGTTGGTTTTTGCTTTGTTCTAATATTCTAGTAAGAACAGCTGAGGATATTCCTTGTAGTGGTGTAATATACTCAGGCGACTTCTTAATCCTAATTAATTTAGAGGAAATGAATTGATTTGTTGTTTTAATGCAAAAATCAGTCGTCAAATAATTCAAACGATAAAACAAATTCTCAGGATTTAATAGAGACTTCAATACGAATTACACGGAGTTAATAATTGAAAGGTAAATCTAAGTTTAATGCTGCATTCTTCTAAGTGGATCAATAAAATGAACAGCAAACAACATAAAATTTGTACTCAAGTGAAGATGGGTGGAAGTTTTGGAGAACTTGATTGAGGTCAATTTATTGCTTACATGTTTAGCTGAAATGAAGTTACGTTGATGGTAAATGGATGCCAAAAATATTCTTGAAGCCTTGTGGGTAGGTTGGGGCTGTAATTTTGCTTTAAAAATTTATGTTGGCCTTCATTATATTTGACACACAAGTAGATAGAACGATATGAAAATATCTAATATAGTTTGGTTAGCGAATATTAACGGCAATATTTGTTTTTTCTTTCCTTGGACATTATTTTAAATTACCTTGATAGAAAGCCTTTAATTTATCAATTAATTATTATTATTTCACTGTTGACACAATGTGGCAGCTTATTGGGAAGACACCAATGGTTTACTTGAATACTATTGTAAAAGGTTGTGTTGCTAACATAGCTGCGAAGCTTGAGATTATGGAGCCATGTTGTAGTGTCAAGGATAGGTGAGAACACTGCTGTTTTTTATTTAAGATTTTGCAATTGCGAACAAATGCATTTATTTGTTGCTTTCTGCCTCCTGGACATGTTCCAACTTTACAGCGAAGTAAATCCTCAAGATAACGTGGTTAGCTGTCAATTATGATCTACTCCAGTCCATATCTATAGTTATATAGTATCTGAATTTCACTCAGTTTGTTTGAGGCTTGACAGTTTTTATCCTGTTAAGATTAGGATCCTGATGTCTCACATGATTGAGCTTAGTATCTATTTGTTTATATTGTTATTTCTTGTTGTTCGATGAAATTAATATTTTTGATACAAGGATCTAAATGTAAGAAATGATGTCCCGTATAATTCTCTTTTTCTTACAATAATTGTTTGCTTTCAGGATAGGATACAGTATGATAGCTGATGCTGAGGAAAGAGAACTTATAACTCCTGGGAAGGTAAGACGCGTTTCAAAGTACATTCCTAAGTCCATAAATGTTTGATTTATTTAACCTTAGTCCCCTTCCCCTGAACCACCAAAAAAAAATAATAATAAAGGAAGAAGAGGATATACAGGAAGGTGTAAGGTATACAATAATTGAGCAGTTGACTTTACCTTCCTTTATTAGATTTGCTGCTCACTCTGTAATAACCTATCATGTTTATTTTAATAATGTCAGGGAGATCAATTACTGTCATTGACCATCCTATAAAACTTGAGCCAATGTTTTTTCTTTCTCATATCATTTGCCATGCAGATAAATAGCATCCATGTCCAACATGATTGTTACATACATGCCCATTTAACACTGCTGTTCTGGTGGATCTTTATTTTTGTGCACATTATATTTTCAGTTGTTCTGCCCTCTTATTATTTCATAATTCAGCCCATTCTGATAATTTTATTGTTACATTGGCATGCCGGGCCTTTAAATTATTAGTTCAAGTGAGTAAAGAGATTGTAGAATTTTCATCAGCTTGTGTATTTTTAACCTGACCAGATTGAATTTCACATTCAGTAGATTGATGAACATGGTATATTGCCTAAAAAGTTAAGTTGCCGTTCTCTTTGCCATTTTCAACCCATTTTCTATTTTCGATTTTCCAAAACAGTGAAAACGTGTTCTCTTTCTCCAAAACCACCGGATTTACAACTCATTGTGAAGTCCTTAATCCCCTCTTCAATTACCACACAAACAACAACCCAAACATATAACAAAATCGAACAAAAATATCCTTAAAAACAGATCTGGCGCAAACTGCTTCTGCCGGAACCCGGAAACTCCACCTCCGGCCACACCCAAGGTCGCGCACCACCACCGATCAGTAGCACTCACCCATACAATCATAACCATGGCCATACTCCAACCAATGGAGCTCCCAATCGATCAAAATAGAAT